AGTCATTACAGTTGAGGTTCTGGGACAAACTTGTACCTGATGGAAGTGAGAAGACTCCACCGCTGTTTGTTCTGCAAAGCACAGAGCTATATTAGCATAAATTAAATGGGCTTGGACGGAGCACAATTGTATATGCAGTGGGGTATCTCCTTTGGGGACAATTGGCTGTCTCCAACCCAGTATCACCCATTCATCCATTGTTTACATGTTACCAGGTATGGGGGGCGGGGGGCGGGGAGGGAGCTTGGGTGCAGGCAGTGTGAGACCATTGCCATCTAACTGTATTCAGATATAAATGATCTCTCCTTATCCATAACTATGGTTCCAAACCTGGAGAGTGAGCGCAGCTAACTGGGGGAACAATCCAGGTAAGAATGAATAGATCAGCCTTTTTTTTTTTTTTTTTTAAGTGATATGTTTAATTTTGGGTGCTCTGACTTAGAAATTTTAAAATCCATCTAAACTGTAATTTCAATTCTCTATAATAGTATTAACATGATTTACTGAGAAAAATGGTTTGGGGTAGGGTATACAAATTTCCTTACACAATCTTTCAGAGGAAAGAAAACTTGATTACTTCAGACTTAATAAATGAAAATAAACATCTACTTTTGAAACTAAATATTTAATAGTGAAAAAGTATACTACCTAAGCCACTTAAAATTAATTCAATATTTGCCTTGAAAGTCTTTTTTTAGTTTCAAATATAATGTAACTTTTTAGATTATGAAACACACTATTCCTTCAAAAATAAAGTAGCCCATGGAATGATTAGATCAGGAAAGATTGCAGGGGTGGTGGGGTACAAAACTTTTGGGATCTGTACATATACAGATTTTGAAAGCCTAGGAATATGAAGCCAACAATATACCTTAAAAATATCAAATTAGGAAGCAAAGAGATTTTTTTTAAGAACCTTAAAATGTCCCAAGAAATTCATAGACTGATTTCTTCCATACAGTATGCTCTAAAAATAAGGACAATTAACAGAAGTAACAATTTAGGGCACACAAGTATATGAAAACATCCAAATCAACAAGCAATTTCAATAAATCAATAAAGTTAAACCACCATTAAACGTAATTTACATTTTTTTGTATGAAATCCACACCATTTCAAATATCAAGCCTTTCTTTCTTAAGCCAAAATACTAAAGGGCTGGATGGCTGTCATTGTAGAGAAAGAGTTTTATTTCAGGCAAGCAAAAGGAAAAGGAGACACATTTAGTCAGACTCCACAGAAGGAATCTCACTTCCACGCGGAACAGAAGTCAGCACTGACCCTGTGCTGGGTTACCCACTGCCTTGCAAGTGCCAGCTTCTGCTGGATAACAGTACTCTGGGGTGAGTGGTCAGAGTGTGGAACACCTCTGCCAGCCAACTCCACAGCCTGCTACCGGGTAGAAGAGTAAAGTGGCCTAAGTGAGTTAACAGTCAAGTACATGAGCTACCTTATCTAATCTTTATATCAAAAGAAAAAAAGTTTTTTTCCATTTTAAAGATAAAGCTGAAGAACCTGCCCAGTGCAAGAACTGGCTGGGATCAGAACTCAAGGCCCAGTTCAAATGTGGCTGACTGTAGGGTAACTATGCTACAAATTAAATGCAACCAAAAAGCTGTCTTAAAACCAAGTCTCACACACACACACACACACACACACAAAAACCAAGTCACATTCAGGGAAAGAAACCGAACCAAGTAACCAAGCATCCTAAGTGCAATCAGGGAAAAAAAAGAGAGGAGTGGGTCAAGAGTATCTCTGTGAGTGTCCCAAAAAACCCAGGACCAGTCATTACAGTTGAGGTTCTGGGACAAACTTGTACCTGATGGAAGTGAGAAGACTCCACCGCTGTTTGTTCTGCAAAGCACAGAGCTATATTAGCATAAATTAAATGGGCTTGGACGGAGCACAATTGTATATGCAGTGGGGTATCTCCTTTGGGGACAATTGGCTGTCTCCAACCCAGTATCACCCATTCATCCATTGTTTACATGTTACCAGGTATGGGGGGCGGGGGGCGGGGAGGGAGCTTGGGTGCAGGCAGTGTGAGACCATTGCCATCTAACTGTATTCAGATATAAATGATCTCTCCTTATCCATAACTATGGTTCCAAACCTGGAGAGTGAGCGCAGCTAACTGGGGGAACAATCCAGGTAAGAATGAATAGATCAGCCTTTTTTTTTTTTTTTTTTAAGTGATATGTTTAATTTTGGGTGCTCTGACTTAGAAATTTTAAAATCCATCTAAACTGTAATTTCAATTCTCTATAATAGTATTAACATGATTTACTGAGAAAAATGGTTTGGGGTAGGGTATACAAATTTCCTTACACAATCTTTCAGAGGAAAGAAAACTTGATTACTTCAGACTTAATAAATGAAAATAAACATCTACTTTTGAAACTAAATATTTAATAGTGAAAAAGTATACTACCTAAGCCACTTAAAATTAATTCAATATTTGCCTTGAAAGTCTTTTTTTAGTTTCAAATATAATGTAACTTTTTAGATTATGAAACACACTATTCCTTCAAAAATAAAGTAGCCCATGGAATGATTAGATCAGGAAAGATTGCAGGGGTGGTGGGGTACAAAACTTTTGGGATCTGTACATATACAGATTTTGAAAGCCTAGGAATATGAAGCCAACAATATACCTTAAAAATATCAAATTAGGAAGCAAAGAGATTTTTTTTAAGAACCTTAAAATGTCCCAAGAAATTCATAGACTGATTTCTTCCATACAGTATGCTCTAAAAATAAGGACAATTAACAGAAGTAACAATTTAGGGCACACAAGTATATGAAAACATCCAAATCAACAAGCAATTTCAATAAATCAATAAAGTTAAACCACCATTAAACGTAATTTACATTTTTTGGTATGAAATCCACACCATTTCAAATATCAAGCCTTTCTTTCTTAAGCCAAAATACTAAAGGGCTGGATGGCTGTCATTGTAGAGAAAGAGTTTTACTTCAGGCAAGCAAAAGGAAAAGGAGACACATTTAGTCAGACTCCACAGAAGGAATCTCACTTCCACGCGGAACAGAAGTCAGCACTGACCCTGTGCTGGGTTACCCACTGCCTTGCAAGTGCCAGCTTCTGCTGGATAACAGTACTCTGGGGTGAGTGGTCAGAGTGTGGAACACCTCTGCCAGCCAACTCCACAGCCTGCTACCGGGTGGGACACACACACCTACACACGGCCTCCGGCCCCAGGTCCACTTAAAAAGAGCTGGGAAGAAAACAGCCAATAAAAGAGGAAAAAAGCACCTCCCCAGACAATCCCAGGCTGGGGGCGGGTGGGGGTGGGGGCGGGCAGGCACATTAACATTTGACTTCCACACTCTAAAGATCACCAGGAGGTTAAGTAGAGCCACAGGAAACATCCCATCCCCGAAAACCAGGAAATCTAGATTTGGAATTTTAAGTTTTAGACATTAAAAAAAAAAACTTTCAAAACTCACGGCACCAAAATATAGCTAAAATTGAATCCGTTTAAACCTAGAGGGGGGGAAAATACCCAAACCACACTGTGTCAGCTATGTTCAGTTCCCTGAAGGTTCTTCCACAGACCCTTCTGAGTTGCGGCAATAACAAGTTTCCTTAAAAAACCCCCACTTTTCTATTTCTAGGGTCGAACAGAACAGTATCACAGAAATCCAAATAGTTACTATCAGAAAAAAATAAACGGACGATCCTTAAACTGTAGACCTTGTTTCAGGAGCTGCCCTGCCCACCTCCACTTCCCTCCTCATTTTTAGGGCTTCCCAGCGGGGTCCGTCCTGACAACCAGGGTCCCCGCCTGGAGTCCGGTCCCCGCGTTTCTTTTCCCGGACAGTGACCAAACAGAACAGGAAACTCCTCCATCTAGGGGCTGCTCCAGACATCCAGCCCCCGTCTCCCTCCCTGACAGTCTCCTCCCCCCTCCCTGCATCTTTCCCTCTGCTAGGCTGTCCAGAAAAGGGGGCTCGGGACTCGAAGGAGTCCGGGATGGGAGGAAGGGTGGCTGCTCGGTCTGAAAATAAACACCCTCGCTTCCTGGGGTAAGGGCTAAAAAAGCGATTAGAAAAGCCTGCCCAGTAGAAATACCACCTGAACGTTCCTCCTCCCTTTCCCACTGCAACAAGCCCAGTCACTAACTAATCAGCTAAGACAAATCCCTGGAAAACTTTTGCAAACGGGCAGAGAGGACCCTCTCCCCAGCCGGGGGGCTCCCGGAGACGGGGCTGGAGTTTGCAGCCCTGGAAGGGCTCACCGGGGAACGGGGTGGGGCGCGGGCGAGGGGTGCAGGGGCGGAGTACCTTCCACGGACAGGAACTGGCAAAGAGTTTCAAAATAGCCGAGTGCTCTCCCCCACGCCCTCGGGGGTCGCGAGCGCTAGGACCGGGGCTCCCCGAAAGGAGGCCAGCCCCCAATTCGGGCCTAAAAGGAAACTTTCCGGGCCGCGGCTGCACCTGACTCCTCCACCGCCCCTCCACCCCACCCCACGCCCGCAAGGCCGCCCGCCCCGCCCCGGCCTGGGCCGCCCGGAGCGCAGAGGAGGGGGAGAAATAAATCCAACTATTACCGGAATCGGGGGTGGGGGGCGTGGGCGAGAGACTCGGGGGAGGGGGCGGCTGGACGCCCATTGCCCACTCCTAGGCCTTGACGCCCCTGTCCCGGCCACCCCGGGCCTGCCGCCCCGCCGGGGAACCTCCCAGGGGCCCGCGCAGGATTCGGCCCAGCAGCGCAGCCGTCCCGCCCGGAGGCCCCGGGGGACCCGAAGGAGGCCCGGGGTGCGAGGGCAGGGGGCAGGGCGCGGCCGCTGCGGGGCCACCCGCCACCCCGGCGCCGGCCCTCTCACCCTTTCATTCTCTGCCCGGGGCCTGGCGCGGGCCGGCGAATCCCCGGCCTCACGTAAGCGTGCTCGCCGCCCGCCCTGCCTGCGCGGCCCAGCCCGCCGCCCTACGGGAGCCCGGGGATGTGGGCCGGGCCTGGGGCCGCTTCTGCTTACCTTTCAGCTGCTTTTTTTTTTTTTTCTCCTTCCCCCCTTTTCCCTCGGCTGGGCTGACAGTTCAGAGTGAGAGGCGCTGGCAATGGACTAGGAAGCTCGGCCGCCGCTGCCACGGCTCCCCCCTGGGCTCCGGCGAGAGCCTTTCCCTGTCAAGCAAGAGGGGTGAGGATCATATTTTTATTTTGGAAACTAAAAAGTGCTCCCAGGGTCGGTGATTATTAAGGGGAAATCCCTGAATATACTCTCCAGCCAAGAAGGCAGGGCTGCCGGGGCTGCACAAGAAGAGGCAGCAGCCTCCTACAGCACCACTACAGGCACTGCGAGGACATAACACCAGAGCCGCTCCTCTGCCCTCCGAAACGACAACTTTCCTACCATCTTGGAGGCAGAGCAAAGGGGGGCCGGGGGGAAAAGTGCACCCGCTCCCGATAAAGTACAAATTTCTACTTCTCATCTCTGGAAAAAAGTCCACACCGGCCGTCTCCACCGGCGCCTGGGGGAGAAAGCGGGGAAGAAACTGGGGGTGCCTGAGAAACGTTTGCGTTTGCTCCAGGGGGGAAAATGTTTCTGCATCTTCTGATGGAAAGAAATCTTTACAAGACACAGGTTTTCCGGTGATTATTGTTTTCTGTTTAATTTTTTTTTTCCATGTTCGTGATAGCGGTATTTGAATTTTTTTTTCAGGCTAATAATGATTTTTTTTTTCCATTACAGATCTAAGTTCTGGGTTTGATTTTGGGTCGGTTTATAAATTTGAACTTCAAGAGACTTCCTAGTCACTTTATTTGTCTGCTTATTTATACGTTTTTGTGTATAGAGATATTTGTTTCCTTATATATAAAAATTTGTGCTATATATTCCCTTCCAAACTGCGATTGCTGGAAGACAATTGTAAAGGGATGTCTTTTGTCTCCTTTTCCCAAAGCAGTGTAAATAAAACCTATTGACTGTCCAGAAAGGCAAGATACAGCTGTTTATTTTTCACAGTGCAAATTAAGGCAGAGATCACTGGGGGGTTAAATACAACTCAAGTATAACTGACCATGTTTCTAGAAATAACCCTAACGCTATTATGGTCTGCTTGTGAAGAAAGATTACTGGAAAACTGCAAATAGGTTATAAAGACAAATTTAGATTTTAAGTAAAATTGCTTACTTAGAATTATATCCAGGCATTTAAATTTTTTGTTTAGTTTATATCCTTTAAATTTTAGATTTTTGGTGCATTGCACATGTTGCTGTCCACATTCTGTGTCACAGAATTGAGAATGAGTGTGTCTGTTTTTGTTAGAGTTGAAATGTTCAGAACTTCCAATGTGTTGCCAAGCTATGAATTACTTTTAATATATTGCAATGGATGTCATGAGTCAGCGTTTCTTCAGTAAGCAAAAGGTTACTGTAAGCAAAAGGTTACAGTAAGCAAAAGATAGAGGGGATCAAAATTACCCAGGATTGGGGGATCAAAGCTGAGATGATAGATGAGGGACAGAAGGGTGCTGCTCGCTTGCTACAATTCCATAGAAATCTTGCTGGAAGAGAACAAATTGCAGATATTTTGCTATTTTTGTGATGAAAGAGGAATACTAGAAAATGAACAAAAGATCTTTTTGTATTTCTACAAGGAATAATGAGTCTTGTACCAAAAGTTATTTTTCTGATGCAGATTGCCTGACATAGTGGAAATGAATTTGTAATATCAGTGCCTTGCATCAGTAGAATGTTTAATTCCTCTCATTTAAAGTCAACTAAAAAGCTTTTAGAAATAACTGATGACTCACTTTAAAATGTTTATTCTTTGAGCTTCCAAATGTCAAAATTCCCATAATGTTAAAGTGAGTTCAGATAATGCATATAACAGATATTAATTATTTTCATTCTCACCCTCATCTTTATTCAGTTTGAATACAGTACCTGAGTAGTCTTTTTTTTTTCCCCTGGAATTTTTTCCTTACTATTTGCTAGAGAAATCAAAAGTAAATAAAGTAAAATTAACTGATTTTAACATCTCAGAAGCCTCAGTTATAAAGTAGTGTTCTATTTACAGTTTTTTGGGGTTTTTTTTAATCATTAGAAATCAAATACTTTGGTCATAACAAGGAAATCCGTTCCCTTAATGAAATCTAGTGGAGTTGAAAAACATGGTTTTGAGCAACTTGTTCCTTATATGTGACATGACTTTATAGAAATACTTTGAATTTTTCAAGACATTAAGATGTGTTTGATTTAAGTTGACTGCACCCTTTTATGCAGTCCCTCTTGTGACCAACAAGCTTTTTTGAGTGATACCTGTCTGGGGATAGGGGTATGTGCATAACATGGTGCAAATATGGTACCACTTCAGTGTCATTCTTTTTGTAAAGTTTGACTCGTACAGGGCTGTGAGCCATCAAGTTTTTCCATCAGCTGAGCTGAATAGCCTAGTCTGAGGCAGTTACAGCCCAAACAAAAAAGAAATCCTGCTACAATTGCAACATGGGTGAATTCGATTGGTCAGTGTTTATTTCTGTTGGTAGCTGAACTCATTTCAGGTGTTACATCTCTTCATCCCTAGAAACTACAGGTGCTAACAAAACTACTGACATAGTTAACCTTAAATAACCCTATTTTGCCCCGTAAAATTCCTAGTACTCAAATTTGGCTAACATTGAGCGCCTGCCTCTTGAGAAGTCTGTATGCAGGTCAAGAAGCAACAGTTAGAACTGGACATGGAACAATAGACTGGTTCCAATTACTTTGCCAACAAAGGTCTATCTAGTCAAAGCTATGGTTTTTCCAGTAGTCATATGTGGATGTGAGAGTTGGACTATAAAGAAAGCTGAGTGCCGAATAACTGATGCTTTTGAACTGTGGTGTCGGAGAAGACTCTTGAGTCGCTTGGACTGCAAGGAGATCCAACCAGTCCATCCTAAAGGAAATGAGTCCTGAATGTTCATTGGAAGGACTGATGCTGAAACTCCAATACTTTGGCCACCTGATGCGAAGAACTGACTCATTTGAAAAGACCTTGATGCTGGGAAAAATTGAAGGTGGGAGTAAAAGGGGACAACAGAGGATGAGATGGTTGGATGGCATCACCGACTCAAAGGACATGAGTTTGAGTAAATTCCGGGAGTTGGTGATGGACAGGGGCCTGGCGTGCTGTAGTCCATGAGGTTGCAAAGTCAGACACGACTGAGCAACTGAACTGAACTGAGCACCTAATATATCTTGGTAACTTTGCTGGACACTTTTTTTTTTTAATTTAAATTTATTTATCTTAATTGGAGGCTACTTACTTTACAATATTGTAGTGGTTTTGCCATACATTGACATTCATGTCAATGTATGCTGGACACTTTTATTTATGGACTGTGGTTTAATTCCCCTAACAGCTCCAAAAAAATACTATTTATCTTTCCTTTCTTCCCTCCTCCTACTCCTTTCCCCGTTTTTCTTCTTTTAAATACTGTTGGGATAATTACCTTCACTTTTAAGGAGTGTAGATCTTGGGCTTTCCAAAGATTCTAAATCCTTTTGCTGTATAGTTGCTGAGGTACCTACCACTGCTCTATACTCCATATCTGGAAATGACGTTTCTGCCATTTTTTTTGTAATTTAGTCACTAAGTTGTGTCCAACTCTTTTGGGACGCCATGGACTGTAGCCTTCCAGGCTTCTCTCTCTGTAGGGTTTCCCAGGCAAGAATACTGGACTGGGGTACCATTTCCTTCTCTAGGGGCTCTTCCCAACCCAGGGATCGAACCTGCGTCTCCTGCATTGACAGGTATATTCTTTACCACAGAGCCACCTGGGAAGCCCTTCTGCCATTTACTCTTTGCCAAAAGCAGAGTAGCCAGCAGTCAGATCCCCCTTTGATCTACTAGTGGCAGTCAGTGGCTTATTTCACCCTTGTGAAGTCTAATTCCTATGTCTATCCATTGTTTTGAGGAAAGCATACATATATTAATATGTATATGTGTCAGCTGAGACACTGTATTTAGGAGAGATTTCCTTCCTGATCCTAAAAGTGGACAGTATATGTGGAGCGCTAGTGTAATTAGAAATGTTACCTATGGTTGTAAAATCATGGTACTTTCTAAAAAATCTAATCAATGGATGAAGTGACCTGGAACCATGAATGCCAGAGTTTACCTATGTGATCTTTAAAGCAGTGTCTTTTACTTATTCTGTTATGCCCTAATTTCACAAGTAGCTTGTTTAGCCTTTAGCTGAAATAAGAAATGCTTGCCTTAATATTTTTACTATTATTAGAAATTTTAATTGATCTGCCTTTTGGTGTTAGTGATTTTAGTTTTGCAAACATTAACCACCTTATTGAGAACACTGTAGTGAGGTTACAAAAATACTACCTAGGACTGCCCTGGCAGGCCAATGGTTAGGACTCGTACTTCCACTGCAAAGGGCCCAGGTTCAATCCCTTGTCTGGAAACTAAGATCCCCAAAGCCACAAGGTGCGGCCACAAAAAAGAAAATACCTCCTAGATTCACAGATTGTGTGGATTTAAAGTGAAAGATTTATGCATGTTTAATATATTAGATGTCTTTAAGCAATAAAGCCATGCCTTTATTAGTGACTGTGTGCTGACAGAATCACCAGTGACATCAGGCATTATTATACAAATTTAGTGGGGGGTTTTGGGAGAAGTAGGGATGTGATTATAAACCTTCCCTAATCACAGAAATGTTTTTCCTAACATTTCTAAAGGCAAACTCTGAAGTCATATCAAGAGGTCCCTCGTGTGAGGACTTCCAAGGAGGTAAAAAGAAGTGGGGTGTTGTTCAGAGCCTGAAAGTTTTCAAAAATCATACTGTTGATCTCAGAGAAAGAGCAGTGTGCAGTCCTGAGGAGAGATCTTAGTTCCCTGCCCAGGAATTAAATCTGGGTCACCTGGATGAAAACCAAGAGTCCTAGCCACTAGATCACGAGCTAGAAGCAAAGTGGCCCTGGCTCTTGCCCCTGTTTGAAAGCAAGAATGTTTCAAGGAGGCAAAAACTGTAAAAACAGGTACAAAGTTTATCATTAGAGACACAGCACAATGTGTGGGAGATCTCACAGGAAAACAGTTTGTTTATCCAACTCAGA